TATATATATTAAAGGTGCTGCAGCCTGCAAGCAAGTATTCATATGCTCTGAAAATTGCTGCAATTGACTAGTAATATTATTCCAATTTCTTTTGGAGAGGACCTTGGAATAAACATATAGATAGTAGTTATGTTTGTATAACGTGTTTTCTGGAATATATATGTGTATGAACATAGTCGATTTTTCTTTTAACCTTTTTTGGGATTGATCATACAGTTCTTAGGGATAAAATCAGCGATGTTGGGGCGTTTCAACGCTTAAAAGTTGTTTCTAGTGTAAACATAAATTATTCCAATGTCGTGTGGATACAAGCACTTTTTCATTCAGTACACATAATCTAATGCTCCTAATCATCTGAACCCCAGACCGCAATTATACGAGTTATCACTATAGGACTTCTTACTGAATGGTTCCCATTCTCTTCAACCCAAGTGATAGACCCAACATTTCTACTCTGATTCTCGTCACCTATATACCGAATTGTCAAAGTATAACTTTGTTTCTCATTTTTCTTCTTGAACACCAGAGTTTTTGGAGACACTGAAACTGTGGAATTCTTTGGAGTTTCTATCTTTACTTTATAAGTTGTTCCACCTTTACCAACATTTGTAAGGGTCCTCCTGAATTTCTGCTTCAACCAGGTGAAGTTTCCCTCGAGACTGAACGGATACAAGGCAATGAATGATGGATAATTGAGATCAGCACATGGACTTGAGCAGTTGTTGTAATTGGCTGATGATCTTGCAAAAGTTTTAAATTGCTCTTCTGTGAAATTCATTGAGCATATAAGATTTATGTAATCTTGCGGAGTAGCATCATATACTAGGCCGGGATCAAGAGCTCTGTTCGGATTAACATGCCCTGCTCCCATGTCTAGCGGCGTGGCTACCATGCCATCGTCCTCTCTAATAGGTTTTTGAGTATTATCCAAATGGTTTGCTGTGGTCATCATGGCGGAGCGAATAGCTGAAGGACTCCATTCAGGATGTGCCCCTTTTAGCATTGCTGCAATTCCAGCAGCATGTGGTGCAGCCATGGATGTGCCTGATTTAAGCTCGTAATCAGTAGATAATCCTATATTTGTCCCAATGCTTTCTGAAAAGAGATTAGGAGGGACAGCTGCAAGAATCAGTACCCCTGGTGCCATAATGTCTGGCTTTGCGATTCCCAAGTAGCTTCTGGAGGGCCCTCGTGCTGAGCTTCCAGCAAGAACTGGGGCTGGTCTTTCTCCATCCACATACGTTTCTTGGAACGTGATGGTGGCCGTGGGAGAAACACTGCTTTTAACGTAATTGATGACTTGCTTCCCTTCCTTTTTGTCAATCACAACTCCCGGGTAGGAAAAAGAAGCAGACCTGAATACTCCTGGATCCTGAGAGATAAAGATGCCTGCCCGAAGTCTTGCTCGAGTTACGTAAAAAAACTGACTGGACAAATCCCAATTATTGCCATTACTATCATCGCAGATGATGATGGTACGTTCGGGGTCAGGTACTTGTAATAACAACTCGTCTGAATTGCAAGCGGCTAGAGTCTTGTTGTAAATCACCAGTGAATCCCTGACAAAGGCTCTTGCAGGAAACAAGCTCCAACCCCTAATTTGTAAGCCATTGCCCAAAGTCAAAGTTCCTGCAAATGTTCGGTCGGTGTATCCTGATGCCACACACAAGATCCATGGAGATCCGTTGCCTAAACTTCCCATGCTTGGACCTCGATTTCCAGCTGAAGCAGAAACTAGCACTCCCTTCATCATAGCTCCAAAAGAAGCAATAGATATAGCATCTTCATACAAGGGAATGAAACGGTACCCATAAGAAATGGATATCATGTCAACACCGTCTGCAACAGCTTGGTCCATAGCAGCAATTAAATCTGAAGTAAAGGTTCCTTCGTTAAAGCTAAACTTGTACACAGCTAGCCTAGCTCGTGGCGCAACTCCTCTTGCTGTTCCTGCTGCATATCCAAAATGGGAAACACCTTTTGCAAAGTTCCCAGCAGCAATGGAAGCGCAATGTGAGCCGTGACCATCAGTATCCCTGGCAGAATTCATGGAAATGTTCACAGATGGATCATTAGCCAAAATTCCCTTATTAAAGTAATTAGCCCCAATAAGTTTTCTGTTGCACAATGAAGTGTTGAACTGTGTGCCGGGCTTGCAAATTCCTTTCCACCTTTTGGGGATTTCAGGCATACCATCATCTCGAAAGCTTTCAGATTCCGGCCAGATGCCACCGTCAAGAACACCAATGATCACTTCTTGGCCTAAACCAGAAGCAGGCCATAGCCCAGATGAAGGATTGAGCTTGAGGAAATCAGATGTATAGGTAGTGTGAGGTTCCACAGTTCTATCTTTGTAAGCTGAAACGAAACCTGGTAACTTCTTCAAAGCTTCAAGTTCATCTTTGGACAAAACAGCACTGAAGCCATGAAATACATTGTCATAAGAGTAAACAAGTTTTGGAGCAGAGTGGAATCTATCCACTGATGAAGGAACTGCAGCTTTAATGGAATCAATAGTGGAAGAATGCCAATGATGGTAATCAGCAAAGATATTAGGCATCAACGACTTGTCCAGGTGAACTATGTAAGTGGATCTTTGTGCTATGGCTAAGAAACAGAAGACATGGGCAGAAAGAAACCATGATAGTAAGAGAAGATGAAGACAATAAGGTAAGCCCATTCTAGATCCCATGTTCACTCACTACACACTGCACTTAAACCACCAAACATTCAATTGACTTTATAGGATTAAGCATATGAGGTCCCTTTAGCAATCAATGTAGTAAACATAGGCGGCTATTATAAAAGTGAACTGTACCAATTAATATAATCAGTTTGTATGGATGTGTGCTTGGAAACATATGCGGATCCAAAATTTAAATTCTATGAGTGTTTTGGTATTTGACTCATTATATTTTTAAAGTTATGGATTCATATCTATTATTTTTACATATAAATTTTTTATTCTGTTACGGATTCAATTGAACAATATTAACAAACTACATCCACCCGTGCTTGAAAAGACCCTTTATGTCAATCAGTCTATTATGGCCCCACTTATCCATTTAATAATTTAATTCAATGTTTACTTTTTTATTTCTTAATTGTTTGTTCTTTAATCTAAACTTTTATGATCTGCTGAGACATTGTGATTTTAAGTCAAATATAATTTTCTAAAGAAAAGCAAAAGTCAGTAGATAATCAAGGATGCTGCTTTCACGGTTTCCTCCATCATCATATACCTCATATTTTAAGTTTATATAATTCTGTCAGCATGTGCTCCTTTTGCTTCTGGATAATATATATAATCTGACGATGATTTTAATAAGCATTTTTGATTTGGAGTCTCAATCAAATGAGAATTGAAAGATTTGAAAAGAGAATATGACAGAACTCAATTACAATTCCTAGGTAAAGAACAATAAAATCTTGAAATCCTTAACTAGGCAAGCGGATGAGCTACATGGATTTCTTTTTTTCTCTCTTATTTCATTGTTACCTGAAGGGATTTAAACATTAAATGAGAAAATTTTAGAATTCGTAGTAGAGACAGAAACTTAGGTTTACTTTTTCTATCCTTTTATTTTTTCTCCACTTTCTCCAAATATTTCTAAGTTCTTTTTTCTGATATTATATGCTTTAAGGTATGGCCTAACGGTCACCGAAGTTAAAATGAAAACATGAGAAATCATGATTTGGGTTCGGTTGGAGGGAAAAGGAAAAGTTAGATAATTTATTTCTATATGTCCAAGTTTCTATAGATTTACTTGGTAGTGGCGTGATGTAACGAAATATATCAATAATGTAACGAAAGGTAGTGGCGTGGGGCGGGATGCGACGATTATTCAACTCATTATTATCGACACTCTGTATAATTTTTGTTTTTCCTCAAAAAAAAAAAAAAAAAA